TGAAGGTGTGGTATTTTGACTTTTGGAGCTATGATACAAAGGTGTGTCACTGGAGTTAAAATGAGAAAAATTGGGATAAGTTAAACCACACAATTTCTTACAGACAACTTAAAATTCATAATAACTTTAAAATACAAGTTTCTTAAAATGCAAACCTTAAAACATGATAGAAAATTTAATGCCCTATACAATTATATATTCACATTGAGCATAATATCCTCCATAACAACAATTTAACATTAATTTTTATTACTAGGAACATATGCAATCATATTAATTAATTCTAATTAAACTTATTACTGAAAGATCCTTGAGATACATTAAATCTTTACTACAGAAGTATAATTGACCCCAAATTATAATATATGATTTATATAATAATTAAAATCAGAAAATAAAGGAAAATTAGATATTGCAGATAATGTATCTGTTTAGTTTGCTAATATTTTAGCAAACTATGTATTTCATGTCACTGACAATCGTAGAACTCTAGAAATCACTCATATGAAGAGAAATAAACCCTAAACCCTAAAAAGTTAGAATCGGGAAAATTGTCTATTCAGTATCCATATTTATTTAAGCTGTTAATGACTGAATATCATTGTTAAAGCTGGTGAGTTAGAGGCTTATATGAATTTGTGTTGCAGTCTCAGTTATTTTCTTATTTTATTGATTGCTAAAGTCTACACTGTATAAATTCTTTCAAAGGTCAATCAGGTTGGCAGCTTTAAGCAGAGTATCCACAAATTGGAGATTTGTATTAGCCCTCATCTGATCTGACCAGCATTGTATCACAAGACGTGTGACTGTTTTATTTTATGTTCATTTTACATTATTTTGCCAGGGTATACTTGTTGTATAGATGAATAAAAAGTTCTAGTTTTCAGTGTGTTTAAATTCAAGATTTCAGAATCAAAATATGATTTATAAGGTTAATAGAATTTGTGAAGAAAACGTCATCCAAAGTCCTGGTGACAAATATACAGTGAGTATTTGAGAAAAGTCATTGCAAATAATTGATAACTTCATCGCTCTATGCATGTGTGTACGTATGTATGTGAGTGTGTGGGTGTGTCTTCCCCCCCAACTCTCACATCTCTTCTCTTTCCTAAAAATATTTGATTTTAGCTGTGAGGAGATTTTTAGGGTAAGACTAACTCTATCTTATACTGTTATGTGAATGTTCAAGACATCCATGAAAACTTTTCATGGGACACAAAAGACAATACCCCCTCTATTATTTTATATATATACATGCAGGTATATATAATTTAAAATATCAATGTCATTTTAAACCGATAATTTTATTTATGAAGAATTGTATTGTGATTCACAACTTGTAGATTGCTGAGGTTATTTTCACAATTATAAAATGAAGTTATTTTCTGAATTATAAAATTATAAAATGAAGTTATATTTCCTATGTATTGAAATATATGTATATGTATACCTATGTGTACACATAAATGTATTGGTGTATACACACACACACAAACACACACACACACAAATACTGCTCTGGTGAAAGTAAAGAAAATCTTAAAGGAAAGACAAAAAGTTTAATTAGAAAATCATTATTCATATTAATTAACTTTTGAACTAATTGTAATTTATTGAACAAAAGGTAAAGAACTTTTGCAAATTTTACTTCAGAAATTTTAACTAAATAAAATGATCTTCTCTTGTCACAAATATACATGAGAATTTTTATTTAATTGATAACGTCATTCTTATAATAACACCTTGACTGAAAAAAAGAAAAAAAAAACTTTAGAAAATAGAAAAAAGGAAGCCTTCAGAATGTCTACCACTTTTTAAAGTTCTATTTACTAAGTCCTTCCTATGAAGTTAAGGTTAAAATCATTGATTTAACCTTTGGATTCACAGCATCACCATCACATTGAGACATGCATGTGTCTTTGATTTCTACCAAAACTGAAGCACACAGTGTCCTGGAATAGCCCATTACATTGGATGATGGAACATTTGTCATTTGTTTAAAACCCAAACCCTAATTATTTTCATGTGATTCATGCAGGTTTTTCTGAAGACTTCATTGTATCACATATCCCAAGTGGAAGATTATATAATTTTCCTGTATTTCATGAGAAAAGTGAAATTTGACTAGTTTTGTAGAAGAAATAAACACTTAAGCATGGACCACTTTTTAAAAGAAGGATTTTATCATTTAGCTATATTACATATATTTAAAGATGACAAAAGTATTTCTGAGTAAATGTTTCTTAAGGATAATTTCCATGTAACTGCTGAGATTTACAGAGTTCTCACATTTTCTTCCCCCATAAGGATTCTAAATCAGATTGGTGCAGAGGAAAAGCCAGCATACCCCATTTTTCTAATATTATCACTTCTCCAGATGGTCCTGAACACATCTATTCAATTCCTTTTTCCTAGAAAGTAAAGAGGTATCTTATTAGATATGTACACCCGCTACAAAAGCCACCTTCCTGTTTTTACTTCTTTTTAACATATCAAGTCTCTTTCATCTCCTACCAGGCAAAAATGACAAGTAGAAACTAAGCACAGTGATTGCCTGAAACTTCATCTTGGCAACCTGAGCAATGACAGAGTTAATGGTGGATCTTTGAAAACAAGTGACCATGGGAAATTAAGGTTGGCAGGGATTTAACTCTTCATGAATCATGCTGGAATATTTTTAAGGGCAATGCAGTGGATGTTTTAACTGTGTTTGACATCTAATTAAGGAGAAACAAGAAGTAGCTTAAAAAAAAATCTCTATTGTACTTTAGAAACAAAGTACTGGCAATTGGCTACCACATACTTGCTTTGGCCAAACAAATGTACATGTAGAGAAAAAAAGTAATGACAGATTAATAAAATAACAGAAAAAAAGATTCCCTGGGCCATTCCTTTTATTCTTCTTGCTGTTGTTCATTTCACAGTTTATTTTAGCAAATTATTAAGCTCTAGGTGTATCAGTGGAATTGTTATGTAGCTGTAGAGCAGTTTTTACTTAAAGGAAAGCAGAATACTTCTAATGGGTGCCACCACTAAAACAAGGCTTATAAAGACAGTATCAAACATATACACCTTGCTAATAAATACTGCTTGCTTCATCAGACAGGTTTAAAGCATATGTGCACAACAAAGGATATTCAAATTAAATGCAGTCTTTTTAATGTACAGCAAGAACAAGCGCCTTCTCTATCATGGAGAGTAACCTATTACCATGGAAATAAAATTCTTGCCAAATAAAAAAGTTTAATTCCCTATTTTTATTTTCTTTCAAAATGTATTTCGCATTTAGATATATTCAAACCTAGATTTTTAAAATATATTTCATGATTTTAAGCTGTTAAACCAAAAGTATTACAAATAGCCAGTCACATCTTTGAGAACTAAAGTTGCATGTAAAACTTACTCATAGGGAACATAAACTTGGATAAAGTGGACCATCAACTTAGACTTATTTGATGTCATCTTGTCAAGGAGTGAAAACAGAAAGCAAAACTGATAAAAACACAGACACCATAATATCATATACTATGGAGATAATTTAAAGACAGTTACTAAATTAATTAAATAATTAATGCTATATGATTTTTTAAAACTTACATAAGTACAATTGCACTTCTGTTTGTTGATGTTTAAGTCTCTATTCCCAACTTGATACTCAGGAAAACATTACACCAAAAAGTAAATAAATATTCTAATTCAATGAATTTTATCTAACGAGCACTAAGTCCAAACAAACACATTACTAGGTGTTTAATTTTCTAATTCAAAGTGTGAAAATTACATCTCTCTTTCTGATTTGAGATCCTCATTCACACTAGGGCATTCAGAAAAAGATGTTCCCCATCATATGAGAATTAAGTAATATGTTTTCTGGCATAAGGGCAAGGTAGAGTAGACAGACATCTCTACAAATACCTTCAATAATTTTTCTTTTAACTTATAGGCTAAAAACTAAGCTTAATTAGAGCTTCTCACTGCTCCACTCCCAATTTTAGAAATCTGAGAATCATAAGAAATCAACACCTTAGGGAGTAAAACTACTTGAGTTAAAGCAGTTTAATCTTTAACTCCATTTTAATAATACCTGAGTTATAGAAAGATTTACTGCGATTAAATTTATGCATATCATTTTGGGATCTACTTTAGCATTACTTTACACATCATCTATCTATAAGATCTATCTAAGCAAATGTAGAACAAATATTAAAAATCCTCATTAAAATAAACACATACATTAAATTGTAACCAAATAAAGCACTAATGATAAAGCTCTTTTTTCTCTCTTAAATTTATAGTTTTTAAAAGAGAAGTTTACACAACTACCTATGCAAGTAGATAGTAATGCATCTGCAGTTCTTATTGAAGTACATATAGAATTAAATAACATAATATTTCAAAGACTTTAGCTTTACATAATTAGTCAAATACAGTCTTTTGTACAATCATAACACGCTGTGGAAAAACTAGTCTGTTCCATCCAGTTTATGTTCTCTTGGCAAACCATGATCTACTGCTTATGTTAAGCATCTGATTGTCAGATTTGAACAAACTGAATATTCATGATGACGATTAACCATTTCGTGTCTAAAACTAAGAAAATGCAATTCATCATAGTAATTATAGGTAAGGCATGCACATCTACAAAGAGACCATTTTTGCATTTCTATTTTTAAGAAAATATTTTAATAGAATTAAAGTCGGAAAAATTAACAGGCATAAGATAGGATAATAAGATATACAGATCAGCGTGTACCAGGCATACAGCTCTTTTCGGCAAATGTGATTAAATGTTCTTTGTTTGCATTTAAATTGTCATATATCAAACAGAAGACATGCTTTTTACAAAAAGGGTTTAAAGTATCAAAGAAAGATACACATAATCACATAGGTTTACCGGGTTAAACTAAAGGTTTGATGATTTGGGGTTGGGAGGGAGTTCAAGGAATTAAGGGGGGGGGGTTATTACAAAGATAACCAAATAAAAGAAAAATAAGATTTACCTTTGTAGGATAATTTCAGCCTTGGCACATTATTCTTCCCATTTTGATAGTTTGCTCTTGCTGTAAGTAATACTCCCCAGAAAAGACAGACAATCCTAGTTAACCAGCCCATGCTGCAGACGCTGTAGGTCCCTTTGCTTCTTTAGTCTTCCTTCCTGTATTGTGCGGCCAAAGAAGTTCAAACAATCTGGAAACTGGAGGTAACAGGTGATTTAGGTCAGTTTCATTCATAAATGCAGACAATCAAGACCTCATGGCAACACTAACACCTCTTCTTCTGTAACAGTCACTGAAGCACAGAAACTTCAAACCCTCCAAAAAGAAAAAAAAAAAAAATTCCGAGCCAGGCACCGGATAATGAGGCACAACTGTTGTGTGGAAAGAAAAAAAAAAAAAAAAAATTAACAAGGTCTGCTGCAGTGGTGCTTAAGAAGCAGTTCCTTTTATCTAAGCTCCTCTGATAGCCGGTGGCAGACTCTAATCCTGCTCCCTGCTTCATTCGGCTCCGGGGAAGCAGAATGAAAGGGAAACAGAGAGAGAGAGAGAGAGAGAGAGAGAGAGAGAGAGAGAGAGAGAGAGAGAGAGAGAGAGAGAGAGAAACCGTGAGCAGCGCGGACTTTTCCTGTACGCATGTAGGGGGAGATGACACAAGATCCCACAGACAGGTTTCCCCAACACTCACTAGACTGGCTGACAATGGGAGAACAGGCGAGCTCAACCCACTCCCCTTCCCTCCTGTCACACAACACATGCAAAAAACATCTCGTAGAGATTAGAGCCGGGAGCAGAACCCTCCGGCGTGCCTGTGAAAGGCATGTAGCTATAAATTTACTTCCCAAGGCAAGCGTTGTTTTATAGCCATTTTTGGGTGCAATTTTGATTTAAAAAATCTGAATTCTGCTACCTACAAAATTTACAATTCATGCTCATTATACAATCCTGTTGAACTTGTGCATTTTGTGTGTGTGTGTGTGTGTGTGTGTGTGTGTCTATATATCCTCATCAATACAACTTTAACCACTGAAGGTTTTAAAGCCTTGTTAGAGATCATTCCCGCCTCCCAACAAACCCCCTGGGCTCAACCACCCCCTTCCTCTGTCCCACTGCAATTTCAGGGAAGAAATTCCTAGTAAAGCCCATTCCAACAATCAGTTCAAGACAAATATAGGTCCTCTGAGAATTATAAATTACAACGAGGGATTCTCAAAAGGATACTCAGAATTTAAAAACATCTATGGTTTTCCAGCTTCTGGAATGCTCTGGCTAACATTTTTAATGCATCACATCTCATTAATTAAAGACACTTCCCTAGTTTTGGTTTAAAGGGCAGCGGAAGATGACAAAGTTCACAAAAGTCCCTGCTGAGTGTCAAGGAGTAACATGAAAAGAATATCTCTGTGTCTTCATGAGCTGCTGAAGGGTTACTAAATTTTCTGTGGTTCGCATAGGCATGTGTTCAGGCAGTCATACGAACACCATTAGTTCTTCCTTCTGAAACAAGTAGTTGTCTGTGGCCTCTCAGTTTTCTCTCTTATTTTTGGTTCAGTTTTACTCAAAGCTGATATTTTTATAGGAATCTTTAGGGGATGTACAAAAAAGTTAACAGAACAGAACTTTCTCTCCTTTATTCCCCAACTGATTCTGCCCTACCCTCTCCTACCATCGCTCCCCACCCCCCACCTCCACATACAGCACTTGGAATCCAGAGACTCATCTTCAATAGTATGGAAACTTCTTGACTGAAGGGAGATAGTGAGTCTTACAATTAAAAACATAAACACCTACTGAAAGTGGCTTAGTATTCTTAAGTAAATGATCTAAGCATTGTCACTACAGCTTTCATTACTTAATGTCTACAGACCAACAGAGAAAGCACAGCGCTCTCTCTCTCTCTCTCTCTCTCTCTCTCTCTCTGCCTTTGAATGTGTGGCTTGTGTGAATGTAGGTGGAGAAGGAGGAAGAGGACCAGGAGGATTTAAAGAGGGGGAGAATGGGGAAAAGGGAGGAGGAATTATCTCTACTTCACTAGATTGACTCATCAAACAGATCTTATTGTATTTGTCAGTTTCCGCAAGCCTATTGATCAGCCAGTATTGTTAAGAAAATAAAATCCAAAAATAATGTTGATTTTACTGATTCCCACACTTGTTATCCTGGGCACTTTTCATGCTCTAGGCAATGGATTAAGGCTACAGATGACAAGAGGCTTGTCTGTCTTCCATGGATTACTCTCTATAGACATTCATTCTGCAGAGGAATTCATGTCGCTTTGGGATTATTTCAAGGATTGGACTAATGAACTATCCTATTGAAATCTCACATATAATTAGTTTAAATGCTTTAAATAGTTTTACCATTTTTATTAGTATATATTTTATATCTTTAAAATATTTTTATATGTTTACTCTTGTTTTCTAGAATAGAAGAGCAAGTTATTTTGTCAAAACTAAACAGGATAAAAAAATTTATAAGTGTATCAATTTCACCCCTGTAATGTCTAATCCTGAAATATTTTGATATGCTCCAAGTAAAACAAAAGGCTGTAAATTTAGATAAAAGAGGGTCAAAAATGGCTACATGGGGGAAGAAAAACATAAAATCTGGATTTTGAACCACAAAATCAGGACAGAGTTATTTCACTTCAGAAAATGAAAAATTTAAATCAATGTTGATGCATGGAAGTTGGTAGCACAGACACTTCCACATATACACTATTTTTATAAACTGTAATCTGATTTTTTTTTTTTTTTTTTTTTTTTTTTTTTTTGAGACGGAGTCTCGCTCTGCCGCCCAGGCTGGAGTGCAGTGGCCGGATCTCAGCTCACTGCAAGCTCCGCCTCCCGGGTTCCCGCCATTCTCCTGCCTCAGCCTCCCGAGTAGCTGGGACTACAGGCGCCCGCCACCGCGCCCGGCTAGTTTTTTGTATTTTTTAGTAGAGACGGGGTTTCACCGTGTTAGCCAGGATGGTCTGGATCTCCTGACCTCGTGATCCGCCCGTCTCGGCCTCCCAAAGTGCTGGGATTACAGGCTTGAGCCACCGCGCCCGGCCTTGATTCTTTATATTTGATATTTTTCTTACCCTCCAAATTATTTATGATCTTCGTGTTTTTCCAGATGTTTAAAAGTTTCATGAGTTTGCATTTACATTTGCTTTTCTGCAGATTTTTTATTTAAGAAATGTAAAAATAGTAAATTCTTCAGGCAAACTAACTGTCCTAGACAGATTAAATTGTAAAATATTAGAAATGTCCGGCCACACACAGATAATTCAAATGTTAAATTAAAAATGAAAGAAGAAAGTAAATGCCTGAAAAATACTCACAAAAGCATTTAGAATATTATATTTTTACTGCCTTCTCATTCGAATTTGCTCAGAGTTGAATAAAATTGTATTTAAATTTTTTTTAATATCCCCAAACACCTGAGGATAATCAAACTTCAACCTATTTCTCAACTAAAGTAGAAGCAAGATATGGGTAGACCTGGATGTGAGGTATCAGAATCTATCGGAATCTGACTGCATGTGTACATTGAAGATTTTAATCCACTCCTCCAAAGATCAGTCCTTTTTTTTTTTTTTCTTTTTTCTTTCTTTTTTTTTTTTTTTTTTTTTTTTTTTTTTTTTTTTTTTTTTTTTTTTTTTTTTTGAGACGGAGTCTCGCTCTGTCACCCAGGTTGGAGTGCAGTGGCATGATCTTGGCTCACTGCAACCTCCGCCTCCCAGGTTCAAGCATTTCTCCTGTCTCAGCCTCCCAAGTAGCTGGGATTACAGGTGCACGCTGCCACGTCCAGCTAATTTTTTGTATTTTAGTAGAGACGGGGTTGCACCATGTTGCCCAGGCTGTTCTTGAACTTCTGAACTCAGGCAATCTGCCTGCCTTGGCCTCCCAAAGTTCTAGGATTACAGACGTATGCCACTGTGCCCGGCCAGATCACTCCTTGCTCTGAGAATCTGTGGCCTAAATTCTGAAATTAGAAAACCTGCTGTATTTGACACCATAACTATTGATTTTATTTTACTGTATCACTTACTACTTTTTAAAAGTCACAAATATTATATTACATTGGCTTTTTTTTTTTTTTTTTGAAACAGAGTTTTGCTCTCGTTGCCCAGACTGGAGTACAGTGGCACGATCTTGACTCACTACAATCTTCACCTCCCGGTTTCAAGTGATTCTCCTGCCTCAGCCTCCCGAGTAGCTGGGATTACAGGTGCCCACCACCACACCCAGCTAATTGTACAGCTAATTGTATTTTTTTTTTTTTTTTTTTGAGACGGAGTCTGGCTCTGTCGCCCGGGCTGGTCAGGCTGGCCGGATCTCAACTCCTGCAACTCCAGGTTACGCCACCCGCCTCAGCCTCCCGAGTAGCTGGGACTACAGGCGCCGCCGCTGACCGGCTAGTTTTTTGATTTTTTAGTAAGACGGGGTTCCCGGTGTCGCCGGATGGTCCTTATCCCTGACTTGGAGCCGACGGTCGGATCCAAAGGTCGGAGATCGAGACCACAGGCCCCGCTCTACTAAAATACAAAAATTAGAGGACAGGGTTTCACCCTGTGTCCAGCTACCAGGAGGCTGAGCCAGGAGAATGGTGGAACCCAGAGCGAGCTGCAGTGAGCCGAGATCGGCCACTGCACTCCAGCCTGGGCAACAGCGTGAGACTCCGTCTAAAAAAAAAAAAAAAAAAAAAAAGGTATAAGTGAAATATTCTTATTTATTTCTTCCCCGAAGTAGCCTATTTTCAATTATTTTCTAACCCACAATTTACATCATGTACTATATTTAACTGTATTTGTAACTGAGTGTTTAATATGTTCTAACAATTCGAGTTTTCAAATATGATTAACTTCTGCCATGGAGTTAAATTTGAGCAGTTGCTTAATAGGATGATCATGCCGTTGTATACTTTTCTGTCAAATAAATCAGTAGTTTTTAACCTCACCTCCCTCTGTATTGAGAAAGAGTGCTAAAATTTTTGACAGTGGCAACTTTCTGGATGGTGTGCTTGATCTTCTAGAGGAACAATACTTCCCGCTTCACAACAGGATAACTTGTTTTTCAGTAAAGACCTCTGTAGTCATAGAAGATACATATTAAAGTATTTACACATTGGCTATGTATTTTTTATCTTTTCAAGAATTGGATGAAACCAATGGGTATAATTTTAAAATGTTCACTCTCTATGTTTTGCTATT